TCTGTTTTTGACCGGTCACCAATACAGTGAAAAAAAATTATGAGAAATTTGTCTCGAGACAACTTTTATTGCTTTGTCATGTTTTAAACGCTTATAAGACGTTAGCAATCACTATATTAGTATATATAAAGGTGAACAGGTAACGTTATCGTCGTTACCAGGGTTGTTTGCCAACCTGATTGTCGAGGTTTTGCTTTTGCCGCTGAAAATCCTGAGAGCTTTTGTGTAGTGCGACTACTTTCGCAGCTACCTTCGTTACATTTTCCAACAAGAAAATTTTCTTCGCTGTAACCTGGTGTTTTATCTGAGCAAGCCACAGAGCATACGTTGCAAATTGGAGTCTTGCAAAAAAATGCAGAGGTATTTGATGTTTTTTTCCGTCCACACTTCGTACACTCCTTGATCGCCCAAATCCAGACGATAAGAGAAGCATTAGTCAAGTGGTGCCACCCAAAAAAACTAAACGCCGATTCGTTAGGCGACGAAGAGTCTGGAATTTTTACTTGAAGCCAATCACTTTTAAGAAAAATGTGAGTATTAAAACAACCTAATTAGAACAATTAGAACAAAATCGAAACCTTTCAAGTTCAGCATATACTATGTTTTTGTCGTACGTAACTCGACGTACTTACGGTGAAGTTGCGTACTCGCGATGAAATATACAGTTTTTCTCTGACAATATTTCAGCAGACATCATATGCTGAGGAGAAAAAAACGATTTAAAATTCTAGGGAAAGGTATGAAAATGTGGCCGGTCAAAATGACCGGTGAGGTAAAAAAGTGAACAGTCAAGAGGCAATTTTGGCCGGTCATTGTCCGTTGACCGGCCGTTATATTGAGCTCTGAAAATATCCCAGCATAGCGATAAACTCTTTCTCCTTTGAATCAATGGGAAATGCTTGCACACGATACCACTAACTTAAAACTTTATGACCGACTCTAGTATTTCCAGTTACTTACCAACAAAAGCTGCACCAGCACCACTCCTAGGCTGCTGTAAAGATTTGAGTAAACTCCAAGAATTATGACGTGGGTAATAACATTCCACAACCCTTAACGATTGTCTTAGATAACCACCAACAATATACATTACTTGAGGACCCAGTGGAGATCGTTTCTTTACGTGTACTGCCCGAGAACAACGACTCTATACAAATAAATAATTAGACTGTGTGCAGACATTTACTCTCGATGGCACGAAGGAACGTCAGTGATTCAGATTACCGATTTTGACGTCAAGTGGATTTTTCACAGAGTTGTGGAAAGTAATCTGATTGGCATAGACGGATTTTCATATTTTTTACTGGGGTGGTGCCAGAAATTTTAGGGGGGTGAGCCGTGAGCAGGTGACTGAAGCAACACAAAGTGTCACCAAACCCCAGTAAGGTCTATATTCTAGGGGTGGAGCACTAGAGCCGCGAGGGGGAGTTTAGAGAGCAGAAAACAAAGTATCCCTGGAAAAATTTGAAAAAAATCATGATTTCTAGCTTCGAAAAAAAGTTTTTTGAAGAGTGTCATATCAATGGATTTGGCATGTCCGATTGTCTGTTGAGACTTGAGAGAGTTAAAGTTAAATGAACCTCTAACAGTGTAAACCCAATAGGCCAATACACAATATGCTTTTACTTTTATAAAGTTATTAACATTGTACGTGTCATTTGAATCAGAGTACAATTTATGATGCAACTCCGATGTAAATAATATTTGGGGCGTAAAGATTAAATCTAGGCAAGTCTATTTCCTAAAAGAATTAAAAACTAAAAATAATGTTCGTAAAAATTCGAAACGTGCCTTCCAAGCAAGCTATTTGCATGACAAGGCACTACAAACTTTATTCAGAGGAGATAATAGAGTTTCAAAACTTTACAAATGTCAATTGCTCCAATAAACGAGTGAATGCAAGCGAGGAGCGATTAGTTTCAGAGTGTTGCACTGTCTTTTTCTATATGAGTGTACTCCTACGTTTATTTTGTACCATCAACACTCTGCACGTTGGAGTGGACTATTTAATTATTTTTTATTATGCCGAATATTGGGGGGGGGGGTTGAAAATTTTTTGGAGGGGTGGACATTTTGTTTGAGGGGGTTATAGCTAATATTGGGGGAGGGGGTAGCACCCCCTGCACCCCCACAACATCCGTCTATGCTGATTGGATAGTCGTTAACTACGGTAATACATGAGGATTCTTAACCCAATTTTTGAAAGAAAAAACACAAGAAAAGTTAAAACTGGAAGTTACACCCATATCCCCTACTCTCCCTCTTCAATGTTGCATATAATGGACACTTCACATTTGATTAACAATTCCATTCATGTACCATCGAGTTGGGGGGAGCGAAAAAGACATTTATTTCGAGAAAAGCCATG